TGTTACCGTATCTCTGGGGCTTGCTTCAAATATGGTAAAATGGGACACATGACAAGGGATTGTACCCAAACTGAGCAACAAAGAAGTGGAAAACCGGCTACTAGTTCGACCGGATCCATCCCAAAGCTGGGGAATACCACAAGGCCTATTGCCATCAGAGACACAATGAGACAAGGGAGAGTCTTTGCACTCGTCCTAGGTGACACACGGAATACTAAAGCTATTGTCGCAAGTACTATCTCTATATGTAATCAAGATGCTTTTGTGTTAATTGATTCCGGATCCACACATTCTTCTGTGTCCACTACATTTGCATCTAGATTTAATAGACCCCTAGAGTCATTGTCATATCTACTATGTGTATCTGCTCCATCTGGGGAATCTTTGTTATGTACATATGTGTATCATATATGTGATATGCATATTGGCAGTGCTACTTTATATGTGGATTTGTTACCTTTGGACATTAGGCATTTTGATATAATTTTGGGAATGGACTAGTTGTCTAAGTATTATGCTACTATTGACTATGTAACAAAACAGCATTTTGTTTAGACTGCCAGGACATGATGAGTTTGTGTTTGTTGGTAATGGTGTAGTGCCTCCACCTTATCTAATTTCAGCAATAAAAGCATGTAAACTGCTTAGGAAGGGGTGTCAGGGTTACTTGTCTAGTATCTTGACTGATCAATCTATGAATGTTGAAATAGATAGTATTCTTGTTAGAGAATTTCCGAATGTATTTCCAAATGAACTGCCAGGAGAATTGGTTGACGGAGAAATAGAGTTTACTATCGATGTTGTACTAGGCACCCAACCCATCTCAAAAACTCCCCACAAAATGTCTACTGTTGAAATGAAAGAATTGAAAGAACAGTTGCCAGATTTGCTTAAAAAAGGGTTTACCCAACCAAGCACTTCGCCATGGTGCGCACCGATGTTATTTGTGAAGAAGAAAGACGGGACTTTACGTTTGTGCATTGACTACCGGGAATTGAACAAGGTAACAATCAAAAACAAATACCCTTTGCCCTGCATTGACGATTTGTTTGGCCAGTTACAGGGATCACAAGTATTTTCAAAAATCGATTTGAGATCTAGATACCATCAGTTGAAGGTGAAAGCAGAAAATGTTAAAAAAATCACATTCAGGACAAGATATAGACATTATGAATTTCTGGTTATGCCATTTGGAGTGACTAATGCACTTGCAGTATTTATGGATCTTATGAACCGAATTTTTAAATCCTACCTTAATGAATTTGTTGTGGTTTTTATTGATAATATTCTGATATATTCAAAAAGTAGAATTGAACATGAATGACATCTGAGAACTGTCTTGCAAACACTTAGAGAAAAGAAGTTGCATGCTAAATTAAAGAAACGTGAATTATGGCTGGATGAGGTTGTGTTTTTAGGCCATGTTATCAACAGAGATGAGATTTCGGTAGACCCGAAGAAGATAGCAACAATTGTGAACTGACCTACACCCACAAATGTAACGGAAGTCCGCAATTTCATGGGTTTAGCTGGGTACTATAGACGGCTTGTGAAAGATTTTTCAAAAATAGTTGTACCTCTTAACCAACTTACACGCAAAGGACAACCGTTTGAATGGAATGATGAAAGAGAATCTGCCTTCCAAGAACTGAAAACGAGATTGACTACTGCACCGGTGTTGACATTGCCTTCAGGTATGGAAAACTTTGTTAGTTTTAGTAATGCTTCGTACAAACGTTTGGGTTGTGTGTTAATGCAAAACGGAAGGATAATTGCTTATGCCTCCCGACAATTGAGACCACATGAAAAGAACTACCCAACACATGACTTAGAATTGGCAGTTGTGTTCGCTTTGAAAATCTAGCGGCATTACCTGTATAGGGCGAAATGTGAAGTTTACACAGATCACAAAAGCCTCAAGTACTTCTTTACTCGAAAGGAGTTGAACATGTGGCAAAGAAGATGGCTTGAGCTAATAAAAGATTACGACCTCCAAATTCAGTATCACTCGGGGAAAGCCAATACAGTTGATGCCTCGAGCAGAAAATCAACGGGGAACTTGGCTTACCTGCTTACTGAACAGAAGGAAATCATGCAAGACTTTGAGAAGCCCGAGATTGAAGTAATGTTACATGAGCAAAGTGGGTTGATAGCGGCCATTGCAACCCAACCGACAATTATTGATGAAATCAAGTTGAAACAAAGGGAAGATGAGTTCCTCAAGAAAGTAATTGATGAATTTGAATCAAATCCGAGACCGGGGTTTAATGTGGAGAATGAAGTATTGAAATTCCAAAACAGATTGTGTGTTCCGAACATCCCTGAGTTAAAGAAAAAAATTATGGATGAAGCTCACAAGTCAATGTTTGCAATGCAATAACATGTATCGGGACTTGAAACAGCATTAATGGTGGTCAAATATGAAGCGTGAAATTGCAGCGTATGTGTCTAAATGTCTTCAATGTCAACAAAAGTTAAAGCTGAACACCAGAAATCGGCAGGTCTACTTCAACCTCTCTCTATTCCGAAATGGAAATGGGAGCACATAACCATGGACTTTATTGTCGGACTACCTCGAACCCCGAGAGATATGAATTCTATCTGGGTTATAGTTGATAGACGGACTAAATCTACACATTTTCTTCCTATAAGAATTATTTATGATGCTTATAGACTTGCCACTATATATGCTGATGAAATTGTCCGTTTACACCGAGCGCCGGTGTCTATTGTGTCAAATAGAGATCCGAAATTTGTATCTAAATTCTGGAAAAGCCTTCAAGCAGCAATGGGGACAGAACTCAGATTTAGCATTGCATTCCATCCGCAAACTGATGGACAATCATAGCGAACCATACAAACTCTTGAGGATATGCTTCGAATGTGTGCTTTAGATTTTCAAGAGAGTTGGAAAGATTACTTTACCTTTAGCAGAGTTTGCATATAATAACTTCCACTTCTGCATTGGCACGGCACCGTATAAAGCCTTATATAGCAGAAAATGTAAATTACCAGTTTGTTGGACAGAAGTCAAGAATAGAGTCTTGCTTTTGCCTGAAATTATGCAAACCACCACCAAAAAAATCAAAGTCATTCAACAAAGGCTCAAGACAGCATAGAGCAGACAAAAGAGCTATGCGAATGTTAGAAGAAGGCCACTTGAATATGAAGTTGGTGACCATGTATTCATCCATGTTATTCCAATGTTGCCAATCGAGATTTGGCAAGAAGGGTAAGTTGTCACCCCGTTACATTGGGCCGTTTCAAATACTAGAGAAGCTCAGTCCAGTTGCTTATATAATTGCTTCGCCACGGGTTATGGAACAAATGCATAACGTGTTCCACGTGTCAATGTTGAGAGACTACCTCCGGAATCCGTTTCATGTGATAGAATATCACCGGATAGCTCTCGATGAAAATATGGAGTACAAAGAATGGCTAGAATAGATTATTGACCGACAAGTGAAGCAACTAAGAAACAAATCCACTCCAATGGTGAAAGTGGAATGGAAAGAACATTATGGAAGGGATGCCACGTGGGAGAAAGAAGAAGAGATGCAACAACACTACCCACATTTGTTTCCAATGGAAGATAACATAAGTTTGGAAGACCAAACTACCTAAAAAGGGGAAGAATGTGATAACACCGTTCCGTGTTATACTATTAATCCTTAATTATACTTGGGATTATGTGTTTAATATGATTTTGGATGCTAAGCATGTGATTATATGTGTTTTTGAATTTATATATGTCCCTTGTGGAGATATATGTCCCATATGCAGCTATAATCTGAAATTGAAGGCCTTATCAGCTTAAGAAACCAAAATTGATTGAATCATTGCGATTGGCATAATTTTTAGAGCCTACGGTGAAGTTTGATTAATTCAATTTGCGACTGACTGAATTAATTAGATTAATTCAATTAAAATAAGGCTTTGATTAATTAAACTAAGCTCCAATTACTTAGCTTAATCATGGATTAGAGAATTAAGTTAACCTAGTCTATATATATGCTAATTAAGGTGGTTAGCTCATTTTTGAGCTCAAGAAATCTGCCAAGAGAAGTATAGAGAGAAAAATATCAATTTAGAGAGAGAAGAACCAAATTCTTGAAGACTTGACTTGGTAATTGAAGATTTGGGGAGCTAGGCTCAAGAATTTGCTAGAGTTGGCAGGATTGAAGGCTCCAAGTAAGTATTTGAACTCTAATTCATGAGTTTAAGTCCATAAGTATGTAAATTCAAAAAGAGTATGTAAATAAATACAAGAATTGAGTTGAATATGTGGAGATTAGAATAAAAAATGTGCATGCATGTGTAAATTTGTTATAATTCCTCATATTTGAGCATGAAGGATGATAATCATGTTAAATTGGGAGTTACTTAGCACATGCATTCATGAATTATGAAGTTATGAAACTCAATTCCATGTTTGAAGATTATAGAACAAGAATTCAAGCTAAATTCATACATGCATGAAAGTTAGAGTTCTATTTTGTCAAATTCATGGCGCCTTGGGCATAAGAGATGTAATTCATCAAGTATTAATGTTCAATTACATGTTTTCAAGCTTTTGGCAAGTCACGCATGTATTTAAGTGTTGAAATCAAGCGTGGAGCCTTGTTCTTCAAATCTGGAAATCCTTGAAATTCGACTTAACACTCGAGCGATGGAAAGGTGGCTCGAGCGTACATTTCGAGCTCCCAGTACTTTTGCAGACATTGGGGGTTGGCTCGAGTGACCAAAAGACCGCTCGAGCGACCACCCTTTATTTTTGGTCTTGGCTCGAGCGACCAAGAAGTTGACTTGAGCATGAAATGAGAGCATCCAGTACTTTTGCAGACCAAGGGGTTCGCTCGAGCGATCAATGTTGCACTCGAGCGAAGTGCCCTGTTTCAGGACACTTTGAAAAGTTTTTTATATTTCAATTTCCGTTCTTTTTCGTTTATGAGAATTCTTAGGCATAGATTGAGCATCCTAAATGAACTAAAGTTCTGCAGATGACTATGATACTTTATGAAGTCCTAAGGTTATATCCACCAGTGATTGCTAATTATCAACATACATACAAGGAAACCAAGATAGGAGATATATCCCTTCCAGCCGGTGTTGATGTTACGCTACCTACATTACTTATCCATCATGATCCTGAACTCTGGGGCAGTGATGTAGAAGAGTTCAAACCTGAAAGGTTCTCTGAAGGAGTTTCAAGGGCATCTAAAGACCAGCTAGCATTCTTTCCCTTTGGATGGGGCCCAAGGACCTGTATTGGCCAAAATTTTGCCATGATAGAAGCTAAGGTAGCTTTGGCCATGATTTTACAACATTTCTCGTTTGAACTCTGTGTGTCCTACACTCATGCTCCTAATACTGTTATGACTCTTCAACCACAACATGGAGCTCAGGTTACATTACACAAACTTTGAGGAGTCAATTAGGCTAGTCTGAGTGTCGAAGGTTTGAATTATGTATCGAAATAATGTGACTTTGCATCACAACAGAATATCTGGTTTTGTGTTTGTAAGAGTGTTTTTACATCCAATAAAAAGAGTGTTTTCACATCTTTTGGAACAAATAGCTCTTGGAATGTTATTTTGGTCCTGTTCTCTGTTTTGCTTGTATTATAAACTGTTGATAATATAGTATTTAAATCCTTCCAACAATACTACTCAAATGAGTAACAAATTGAATGCATTCAATTAGGGTGATGCTAGGGATACAAAAAAATTTACCAAATAAATGACTAAATGTCTCACATGGGTGTAGGATCTACGTTTATTTGGTAAAAAATTTGAGACCTATAGCTTTTCACATTCAATTATGATTTTACAGTCCAAATTTTTCCATTCATTAAAAGTTGTCAGTAATTTTCACCTTTGTGATTCTCTCTGTCATTGAAGTGTTTTAAGTTTTGTGGTTTGAATATTATTGAGAAATAATATCACTAATTTATGACATGTTTCGATCAAATGAATTTCTTAAATTAAAAAAAGCTTATGAGCCAAATCGCAAGCTAAGCTGAGTGAAATAGGTGACACTAATTGACACTAATTGAGACGTAAGACTTGACACTAATTGAGAAATCAACCATCATATTCTGTATAGAGATAAATATAAATCAAGCAAAATTAACTAAATCTATCAAATAAATTGCAAGAGCTCCATTGACAGGTAAATCCTTCTCTTTTATTTGTTTCTTGTAAGAATTTTTCATATATTTCTCTTCAACTTCTCAACTTTCCTCATTGAATATTTATGATAAAAAATTCTAAATGAATCTATATCCTAAGTTGCTACTCACTTTGTTTGCAAAAAATAAATAATAAATAACATCTATCAGATTCCATCATGTGTGAACCAAAATTTTTATGGTAAGTGAGCCAAACTACTACAAATCAGAAATACTGTTTAAGATAGAGTCCACATCTGGGGTTATCACGGCACGTTGGCTGAGTTCCCCAACAACGCAACAATGCTTCTCTTCTGTATTGATGGCAACAACATCCTGGGCAAACTCACTATCCGAACCTGCAGAAACCTGCACCCAGTTCAAAATATAAGAATTTTCATGGGAAATCCGCAACTCCAATACTCTTCTTAGCAGTAATTCAAATAGTTGGTAAGTTTAAACTCTTTCTGCGAGGACATGAATAAAATATTATGCTCCAAACTAGATATCTACAACCAATGTTAGTACAAAATGCTAATACCCTAGCAAATCACGTTTCGCAAGAGCACATTCTGAAACATAGTACACTATTATTCAAAAACAATAAATTTAGTGATTCGAAGTGATTCCAAAAGTTTTTCCAATACATTTCCTTAATGCTGTGTTTGGTTGGGAGATTTGGGGAGGGATTTGGAAAGAGAAAGGGAAAAGGTGTGTGAAATTAGGTGAAATGTAGGTGCATTTTATTCACATTTCACCTCACTTTTCCCTTTCCCTTTCCAAATCCCTCTTCAAATCCTCCAACCAAACACAGCGTAAATGTTTCCTCATGAGAAAGAAAAAACCAAATATAATGAATTAAAATTTAAAGTAAGTGAAGTTTTGACAGGAAAAAAGTCAAATGAGTTATCATGCTCATGAAAATATGTTTCTACACAATTAGTTTAGATTAAAAAAATAAATAAATTTTATTGGAAACCTAATTGTAAAAATAAAAATAAAAATAACACTAGGAAGTGCCTTAAATTCTTATAGTGTAATCTATACAAGTCTATCCCTATCATACAACCTTTTAAAGCATATGTTGTACCACGTTCCCACTCCACATACTGGAACAATCCACATTCCAGTCTACAATGTTTATTGTTTATAACTTCTTGTAGCCATAAAACAGGGGTTTTCCTATTGTTTTGCATTTGTCATATAATACCAGTTTGATTCATCAAAGTAACAATCAAAGCCAGTAAAATAATTTTGTTTTGCATAGTGGGCGCACACACAAAATATGATAGGATTCCTACTCACATCATAAATGATATCACCAAGCTTCAGCTTGACAGCACCACTCTTGTATACTAACATTTTTCCCATAAAACCTCCCGGTAACTCATCCAAACTACATCCCTTTTTTGAGGGACCTGCACTCTTGGGCGGCTCTGAGTTGTTGACCATCTCCTGGCCCTCTGCATTGGCAGATTGCTTCACCATAGGCATATTTGCTGGCAACTGTAGGAAGAAAATGCTTGCTTCCAGATTCTCCTCCTACCAATCATTCCTCAAAATTTTAAAAGATTTCCATACAAGCAGATAATGTCATTTTTTTACTTTTACTAATGCAAGTACCAACCTGTAGACCAAGATCATTTGCAGGCCTTATTGAATGTTCATCATAAGTTACATTTTCTGAAGCTTCCCTGAATTCCTCTTCATTAAGAAGTTCTACAAGTAAAAGAAGCAAGTTAAATGCACACTCACAAATAAAAAAAATACAAGGTAAATGCATGACAATGGCTACCACTTATACCATTAGCCTTTCTATCACATGTATTAGTATAATATTATTCCATATTTTCACTTCTATGTAGTGTACCTCAAGACGTACCTGGATTTCCAGAATAAGGCCTCCTTAAAGGAAGAGTTATGGGATAATAGCTGTAATAATCCTGCAGTAACATTCAAAGAAACAAAATAATAAGCACTGGAACTTGGAAGGGAGATGACGGGCAAGCCAACATGGATTTAGAATTGATCTGTGGTTTTACCTACCCATGGTTCCTTGTATTCTTTCTGGTCTCCCAAGACTGAGGAATAAGCACCACCACCTGCAAAAACATGTTTGCCAATTAAATGCACTGGAAGCAACTAAATATGGTAGGAAGAAGGGTCACTTATCCTCAGAAGCCGGACCTCCATCATTGTTAACACCAATCCCACCCTTTAGAGAACCATATGATTTTATGGAATTTGATTGACCTCCATAACCAAATGCAATTTGTGTAGATGCTACTGCAAATTGTAAAAGGCAAAAATGATCTGAGCACTGTTAATTGAGAAAGGAATCAATAGCCATAGTATAACAAGTGCTTCATCATAAAATATACATGGTGGATGAACAATAGTGAAAACACATCATTTAGGTGAAAATCACAGAAATAAAGATCTCAAAAATTAGAAATTGAAAGTATGCATTAGTCAAAATCTGAAGTTATAACATCATTTGACTTCCAAGACTTGGGGGGCTGGGGCTGTTGGATTCTTCCGTCAGTATGCATGTACATCATCTCCAAAAAGAAACAGTGTTTTTATCTTTTAGCCATCAGGGTAGAATTCGGTGGGAAAAAAAAAGAAGATCATGAATGGCTGGCTATGCTCCGTCTAAATTGAAAATTCTTTTGAGATGTCTGAATATATCTTCACATATACATACACATTATATACAACAATTGGGCATAGCAATCTAAGTAATCATACTTCAGAAGTTGCTTTCCATTAGAAGAAATAATATTAATCGAAGCATTTGTTAATGTAGAAAAATCCTATCAAATCACACCATATATCAAATGTATAACCAGCAAGCATGGAAGATGATCTCGCCAATTCAGCTTCATCATGAGGACCAATGTTGTTAATACCATACAAACAATGTACCGATTTTCCATTGGTATGGTACATACCGGTACTGGTGTGCTTAAGCATAAGTTTCAGATTTATTGCTCTAAATATTACATAGTTATTAAAAATATTTATATTCTCTCCAAAACAGTAATAATGCAAAAAATTAATTGTAAACTTTACCGTAAATACAATTATAGTACACTTGACACATAATACAATTATTGAATCATTGCGATTGGCATAATTTTTAGAGCCTACGGTGAAGCTTGATTAATTCAATTTGCGACTGACTGAATTAATTAGATTAATTCAATTAAAATAAGGCTTTGATTAATTAAACTAAGCTCCAATTACTTAGTTTAATCATGGATTAGAGAATTAAGTTAACCTAGTCTATATATATGCTAATTAAGGTGCTTAGCTCATTTTTGAGATCAAGAAATCTGCCAAGAGAAGTATAGAGAGAAAAATATCAATTTAGAGAAAGAAGAACCAAATTCTTGAAGACTTGACTTGGAAATTGAAGATTAGGGAAGCTAGGCTCAAGAATTTGCTAGAGTTGGCAGGATTGAAGGCTCCAAGTAAGTATTTGAACTCTAATTCATGAGTTTAAGTCCATAAGTATGTAAATTCAAAAAGAGTATGTAAATAAATACAAGAATTGAGTTGAATATGTGGAGATTAGAATAAAAAATGTGCATGCATGTGTAAATTTGTTATAATTCCTCATATTTGAGCATGAAGGATGATAATCATGTTAAATTGGGAGTTACTTAGCACATGCATTCATGAATTATGAAGTTATGAAACTCAATTCCATGTTTGAAGATTATAGAACAAGAATTCAAGCTAAATTCATACATGCATGAAAGTTAGAGTTCTATTTTGTCAAATTCATGACGCCTTGGGCATAAGAGATGTAATTCATCAAGCATTAATGTTCAATTACATGTTTTCAAGCTTTTGGCAAGTCACGCATGTATTTAAGTGTTGAAATCAAGCGTGGAGCCTTGTTCTTCAAATTTGGAAATTCTTGAAATTCGACTTAACGCTCGAGCGATGGAAAGGTGGCTCGAGCGTACATTTCGAGCTCCCAGTACTTTTGCAGACATTGGGGGTTGGCTCGAGTGACCAAAAGACCGCTCGAGCGACCACCCTTTATTTTTGGTCTTGGCTCGAGCGACCAAGAAGTTGACTTGAGCATGAAATGAGAGCATCCAGTACTTTTGCAGACCAAGGGGTTCGCTCGAGCGATCAATGTTGCACTCGAGCGAAGTGCCCTGTTTCAGGACACTTTGAAAAGTTTTTTATATTTCAATTTCCGTTCTTTTTCGTTTATGAGAATTCTTAGGCATAGATTGAGCATCCTAAATGAACTAAAGGGTTAGAAAGAAGCCTACGAAGAATAAATAAATTAAAGAACGGATTAAATTGTATTGTGACCCAATTTCTGCATGTGCTATGAATTGTATAGGTCCAATCGCGAGGACGAATCAACCATCTAAACATTGTAAGTAATATCTTAGTGAAGATATTTTCATGTATATTACTTTCTAAATACTACCTATGTGGTAAAACTTTCTGAACTCATGAATTGGTACTACGAATGGGTATTCTATATGTTTGATTCGTAAAAGAACCGGTAAAGTGATTGATAACTACGAATGCAAAATGGGCCTAAGGTCGTTTGGTATGTTTGATGAGAACATGAAATGAGCCCAAGGCCGTTTGGTATCTTTGACAGGTCAACTTACACATGAATTGGACCGAAGGTCGTTTTGTATGATCATTAAATGGACCAAAGATCATTTTGATTATGAATGTAATGGACCAAAGGTCGTTTTGCATTTGAATACGAATGTGAACATGATCATGATTATCAACGCGCGCATGCATGTGAATTTGGAGATAATGGACCTAAGGTCATTTCATACATACAATGTGAAGTACCAGATGGCCAATTATGCATGGATCCATTAAATGTAAACATGATCTTGAATTTGAATATGCACATGAATAAGAATATGAAAATGATAGAACCGAGGTCGTTTACTACATATGTTATGATCAGTTATGAAAAATGTTTAGACCTAAGATCGTTTCATCTCTTCAACATGTACTAAGTATAATGGGTTTCGTTATGATTTGTTTAAGTATGTTATGAATGGGAAGTGCGTTCTATATGTATTAAGCACAAGTATGATTTATTAAATACGAATCTCATTCATTAACCTCTTTACTCTGATATTATTCACTGGGCGTTAGCTCACTTTTTATTTATATGTATGTAGGTGAGCAACGGTATGTCCAGCCCCAGCCCCAGTGATATGTGAGAAAACCAAGTTTTGAGAGGTCAACCTGGGATGCCTCACGAAAGAGGCTTTATTCTTAATCTTTTGTTTGTCCTTGGGTTGCTTTTGTTAGTCACGTATGACCATTTATGTATATAAGTTTTCGACTTGGAAGACAATGTGATGAATGTTCCTGGACATGTATGATATTGTTTTGTATGAATGTGTGAGTTATTATAAATATGAGTAAAAAGTTTTTGTTCCATACCATTTATACACAAGCTCGTTGGACAATCTTTACATTTTGCTTCCACTTTTGGCCCCCTATTATCAATCATGAGTTGATTTCTGTCTGAGGTCGTAGGTAACCCCGTTATTACTGGCCGGTTATGATCCTAATCTATAGGGGTAGGTTTGGGTCATGACAGTTCACAACCCTTAAAACAGCCTCTAAACAATGCCAAAATCCCATCCTTTCATGCTTAATCTTTTACCCATTATTTACCCTAAACAAACACTACTTGTCCCCTATACTTTTATTGCAATTTCAGCCATAAAGTCTAATTAAAATCAGCCCCAAAAGCCCAGATTTGCTGCTGCCCTAATCGTCCTACATCACATACAGATCCTAAGGATAGTCTTATGGCTCTTTAAACAATGGCGCCAACTATCCAACTAGTCTGGAGCTCCCTTCAGCAAAACCAAATCCAGAACATAGGAAGAAATATTTTTCTTGTCTCCAACTACATCAAATGTCCATATATGTTGTGTTGGCATAGTGTGTGTGTGCGCACGCGCGCATGTGTGTGTGAGAGAGAGAGAGTTGCCGCAATCAGCTTATCACAGATTCCTCTAAAGCATACAATACAACCATAACATCAAGCCTCCAACAAATCAGGCTTGGCATGGAATCATAACATCACCTTTCTATATATTTATGATCTAAATTCACTTCTTCAAGAGCAAATTAGTAAAATGGGAAAAAGAAATTCACGCAGCAATGCAATTAGTTAGTAGAATTTGTCCATTTGTCACACATATACCCAATACATAAGAAAAAATAAAAAATAAAAAATTATGGGCATGTTTGGTTTGTCTCTCAAAACATGTTTTTGGATTTGGTTGAATTTTTTTTTTAAAAAATTCCAAAATCACTTCTCTCTATTGCACATCAATCAATCACTTTTTCTCTCCTTCTCAATCACTTTGCTCTCACATCCTTCTATTCAACTGCAAAAAAATATCAAATTATCTCAAACTCCAAAACTCGAAAACTATTTTCAAAATATACAACCAAATAAAATTTCAAATTTTATAAACTCTCTCCAAAAAATTATTTTTGAAATAATATCTCAAAACACAAACCAAACAAGGCCTATATGTGGCATCTTATTTTACAAAAAATAAAAAATAAAATAAAATAGGTGATCCACAAAGAGTAATGACATCTTATTTTGAATCAACACGCCTCCAACAAATCAGGCTTGGCATGGAACCATAACATGTCCTTTCTATAATTTTAAGATCTAAATTCACTTCTTCAAGAGCGAATTAGTAAAATGGAAAAAAGAAATTCATGCAGCAATGCAATTAGTTACTAGAATTTGTCCCTTTGTCACACATATACCCAATACATATGAAAAAGAAAAAAAAAAAATTTATATGTGGCATCTTATTTTACAAAAATAAAATAAAATAAAATAAAATATCTGATCCACAAAGAGTAATGACATCCAATTTTGAATCAACACTTCACAGGACTGGAAAGAAGCACTTACCTTTCTTTTCAACTTTAGGCTTTACTTTTCCTGAAGCTTCCTATTAATGAAATGCAACAGTCTTAACATTAGAAGAAACAATAATAATACAAGAAAACTAAGCAAAATGTCTCCTTTCCATCCATGATAAATAAAATATTAAACTGAAAAGGACATATACATTGAAACGTCTCAACAATTCCTGTGCCTGGGCATCAGCATCGATAGTTTCAGTCTTTTCACTGCAAAAAGCAAATGTACAACAGTAGTTAAAAGGAAAGGAGCAATTAAGCAATAAAATGTAAGTTATGCAGAGGGTAAATGGTACATTTTTGGTACAACAGGCTTTTGCACTCTGCGAGGAGGACCTTTTGGAGCAAATCTAACCTGCATCAGGTCAAGGTAATTCATCAGAAAAATGTAGGGAGAGTAAACCTTTTGGATGAAGGGTGGGTATCAAAGCAAACCTTCCTAGGGGCCTTACTAGTAGTATTTCCCAAAGACTCTGGATCCATCGGCCAAATAAAATAAATTCTGTCAACAAATACAACAAAAATGAAATCAATAGTTATCAGCCCTGAGTTCTTTGGGGCCCTAGGAAAAAATGTTAAATGGGGCCCCGTACATATTATCACAAGGAAAAATAAAAATAAAACTCATAAGTTTGACATAATTACACTAACTTCCTTTTAGTAAAGGTAAAGCAAACAGAACTAATGCAAATGGTGTCTAAACACACAAATAATGAAACGTAAAATATAAATTTTAGTGAAAGAGGGAAAACCATTTTTTTTTTTTTCCATCCATTTGACTTGAGAAAATAACAACATTTTGCATGTTCATATGATTACTGAAATTATATACTACAATCTAATTTAAACAAAAATAAAGCACCAAATAAAATCTAAGGATATAATATTAAATAAAATTTAAATCAACTGATATCACTTAAATATTACTATTCTTGCATGTGTAGTTGCAAAGTACCTAATTAAGCTTATATAATCCAGAAGCGATTGTAACACTTAACGTATAAATATGTTTAGGAAAATGTTCTCACACACCCAGATGTGTGAGGATCTTGTATTATATACAACGTGGTTACAAGTAGATAACGATTACAAAAGATAAGAATTACAATTTGAATTGTATTCTATCTGAAACAACTATTTGAATTTAAAATACATTCTACCTATAACTAACATTATCCTAACAGCCTCCCTCAAGCTGGAGGATCCAAGGAGTGGATCCGCAGCTTGTCTTCGTAGGAATCTGAAAGAAGCAGCAGGCAGTCCTTTGGTAAAAATATCAGCAAGCTGGTCTTTGGAAGAGATGAACAGCACTTGAAGTTCTTTATGGGCCACTTTATCGCGCACAAAATGGAAATCAATTTCTACATGCTTGGTCCAAGCATGGAAAACCGGATTGGCAAACAAATATGTAGCTCCAATGTTATCACACCATAAGATGGGTGGTGTCTTTAGAGTAATACCCAACTCAAGTAACATAGCCTGAAGCCAAGAGAGTTCAGCAGAGGCATCGGCCAAGGCCTTGTACTCAAATTCGGTTGAGGATCGAGCAACAGTGTGTTGTTTACAAGAAGACCAAAACACGAGATTAGACCCCAAGAAAATGGCATACCCACCGGTAGATTTGCAATCATCAAAGGAACCAGCCCAATTAGCATCGGAAAAGGCATGAAGGGAGGACAAGGAAGTGGGACAAAGCAAGAGACCATAGCTAGACGTGTGCTTTAGGTACCGAAGAATGCATTTCACAGCTCGCCAATGATCATCAGTTTGTGAATGCATAAACTGACAGACGCGGTTAACAGCAAATGCAATGTCGGGACTAGTCAAGGTAAGATATTGAAGTGCCCCAACAATGAGACAATAAGTACTCGGATCAGTCATGAGGGTACCCCGGGTGGGTTTCCATGAGTTTGGTAGTAAAGGAGAGTGGTGTCTGGACCGGTTTGGCATAAGTCATGTGATATATTTTCGTTGGAAAAAAAACATCTCAGTGGATGTGTTGTGGACATCAATACCCAAAAACTAGTGTAAAGACCCCAAATCCTTAATGGCAAACTCCTAGCCAAGAGACTGAATAATATGTTGAATAAATTCCGAAGAATTGCCAGCTATGAAGCACAGACACCTCTACGGAGGTCGCATAAAGGTGTCCGACACATATCAGACACGGACACACTCCAGACACATGTCGGACATGCTAGAAAGAGTTGGACACGCCGGGACACTTTAGACACGCTGCGGACATGCAAGGGACATGTTGACACGCTGAGGGACACGTTAGGGACACGCTGAGTACTATTTTTTTCAAAAAAATTAAAATTTTTTATTTTTTTTACTAAAGTAGCATATCTAAAATTGATAAATTTGATAAAATTAAATATTTGACATAAAATATATATTAAATATTTAAAAGTATACATATAATAAAAACATATGTTTTGAACGTGGCCCCAACGTATCGTATCCTACATTTTTTAAAATTTACATGTCCATGTATCCGTGTCATGTTCGTGTCATATCACGTGTCTGTGTCCGTGTCCGTATCCGTGCTTCTTTGATTGCCAGTACTGATAATGTCATCAACACAGATGAGGATGTAGACAACAATAGAATCATGGCAGAAGATAAATAGAGAGGTATCGGTTCGAAATGCTTATAACCAAGCTCTAGGAGCTTGCTTTAACCCACAGAGTAGAGCTTGCTTTAAGCCATAGAGTGATATATGTAATTTGTAAACAAACTCTAGATGATTGTGATCAATGAAACCTGGTAGTTGTTGCATGAACACATCCTCAAGAAGAAAACAATGGAGAAAAGCATTGGTAACATCGAGTTGCCGAACAACCCATTTGTGTGAGACAACAATGGAAAGAACAGTATGAACAGTTGTGGGTTTAACAACTGGACTGAATGTCTCAAAATAATCGAGACCCTCTTGTTAGTGAAACCCCTTGGCAACTAATCGAGCTTTGTGACGTTCGATGGACCCATCAGACCGACGTTTTATCCGGTAAACCTATTTACATCCAACAATATTCATACTCGGGGATGGAGGTTGAAGACTCTAGATGTATGATGTGCAAGACGAATGACTAAGAAGGGCATGAGGAGAGGAACGCATATAACGGAGAATCATCAGATGAGTGCAAATGCACATAGGTGGTGTAGATGGTGAGAGTAAATCAACCAGAAGATTGAGGCCACGAGTATCATGGAGAGGAGAAGTAGTGGGTGAAGTATGCAAAGCGGAAACAATAAGGAGAGAGGTTGAAGACGTAGGAGTGTGAGAATGAGTGGGAGTAGAACAATCACTGAGGGGTTTGTTCTTGGGCTAGTGTAGGTGAGATGAAGACGAAAGAGAAGTCCTAGAGGAAGGAAGTGCAATTGGGAATGAAGCATATGAAACAGCAAAAGGAGAAGGAGATGGTGGGGCCCCCAAAATTGAGGGACCAAAATAAGGAAAAGTGAATTCATCAAACCGAACATGATGAGCAATGTAAAACGTCCAGTAGAGGGATTGAGGCATCGATAGATGGGAAGCACTATACCCAAGAAAAATGCAAGGCAAAGAGCAAAAAGAAATTTTGTGTTTATTATAAGGCCTAAGAAACAGAAAGCAGAGGCAACTAAAAACCTTCAGAAATTTGTAATCGGGAAATTTATGATGAAGACATTGGTGTGGAGAAATATCATGACTCACATGAGGGAAGATGATTAATAAGATACACTGCTTTGTCAAAAGCAAATGCCAAAATTTGTGAGGAACAAAACCATGAGCCAAGAGAGTAAGACCAGTTTCAACGATATGTCGATGACGTTGTTCAACTGAGCCATTTTGTTCGTGAGTGTGAGGACATGGTAATCGATGAATGACACCCAAATGACTGAAATAAGAAGTAAGCTTACAAAATTCCCCACCCCAATCAATTTGAACAGATTTAAGTTTACATGAAAATTGATGTTCAACTAAAGCTTGAAACTTGGGAAAAATAGTAAACACATCAGATATATTAAATATGGGATAGAACCAAATATATTTCGAATAATCATCGAGGAAAATTAAAAAAATATTTGTGTCCATCACTAGAAAGAACAGGGGAAGGACCCCATACATCACTAAAAATCAAATCTCAGGGAGCTACACTTTTATTAGGAGAACTAAGCAACGGAAGGCGAGAGGATTTGCCCAGTTAACAAGCGGAACAAAGAGTGCTGGACTGCAATTTATTGGAGAAGACCGGAAGAATGCTAGAGTGCAAGGTTTGACAAAGAACACGGGGCATGTGGATGACCAAGACGCTGATGCCAATAGTCAACAAACACACATTCGCAAAAGAGAGCGGATGCAAAGAAAGACAGAGAAGATGGGGCCGGAGAAGATGTAAGTTTGTAAATACCATTCTTATTCTTGTCTCGGAGTAGTGTTGTCTTGGAAAATTGATCCTTAACCAAAAAATGAGAAGGGTGAAATTCAAAATAAACATTGTTGTCTTTACTAAACTGATGAACAAAGAGTAAAGACTTGGTGAATGAAGGGACATGAAGAATATTAGAAAGACGAAAAGTAATGGAAGGAGAGTGAATCGAAGAAGAACCAATATGAGAGATAGGAATACCGTGACCATTTCCAACAACCAGCTGAGAATTGCCATGGTATGCTTTCAGCAGTAGAGAGACTTGAAAGATCTGGTGTGACATGATGGGTTGCACCAGTGTCCAAAAACCAATCCATGACGGAAGATGATGAAGAGCTAGGAGCATAGGTAGTGAGATGAGCACTAGGGTTCATGTTTCGGCTAAACCAATGATAAGTATGATTGGGAAGATCACAAATTTGACAATGGATGCAAGACTTGCCACTTGGTAATGGCAAGAGACCACTGGTATTGGAAGATCGAGGATTAGTAGACAAGTGCTGAGAGTCAGAAGAAACATTACGACCACGATCACAACCACGATTATCGCCACGAGCAGGCAATTGAGAAAGATGAGCCTGCAGGTTGATGGAAGAGGAAGAGGACAGAGTATTAGCATGCAGAAACTCGGGCTAAGAAGAAGACTGTGGAGTTCAGAGAAGGATACAGGTTTAGACCGAGCTACAAGTGTAGTAATCAAGTCCTTGAAATTGGGGTGAAGGCCCTTGAAAATATATAAATTAAACTCAGTAGGTGAAATGGGTTTTCCGGCAGCAGTGAGTCCATCAGCAATGGCCTTAGCTTCATGGAGAAAGGTCATAACAGGGCGATCATTTTGACGCAGAAGTTGAAGACTCCAATGCAATTGAAGAATACGAGTATGAGATGTAGAAGCGAGAGAGAGTTCTCAAGAACGAGCCAAACTTCTCGAGAGGTAGTACAGCCAACAGCAAGAGGAAGAACTTCATCGAAAAGTGACGCGATCAAGAGAGTATAAGCTGGTCTTGACTGTCCCAATAAGAGTATTCTGGATTTGGGACAGCAGCACCATCAACAGTGATCTCGGATGGTGGACATGGAGATGAACAGTCAATGAAACCAAATAGTTTTTGACCACGAAGATACGGCATCATTTGGGTCTTCCAATATAAGTAGTTTTTGAAAGTAAGCTTCAAGGAGATGAAGTGATGAGCACTGTTGAGTGAGACAGGTTAAAGCGATGAAGAAGAAACAGAAATGGTGGATGAAGAAAGAGGGGGCGGAAGAGGAAAAAGGAGCAGAAGTTGAGCTGACAGAAGAGCTCATTGTGTTTGGCTCTGATACCAACTTAACGTATTGATATCTTTAGGAAAATGTTCTCACACACCCAGATGGGTGAGGATCTTGTATTATATATAACATGGTTACAAGTAGATAATGATTACAAAAGATAAGAATTACAATTTGAATTGTATTCTATCTGAAACAACTATTTGAATTTAAAATACATTCTATCTATAACTAACATTATCCTAACAGTTATAAACAATTTATGCATTTGAGAAACAGCCATCTATTAACTTTTAATATTATTTCACACCAAACAAATAAACTATATTCCTAAATTAATTTTTTGGAGGACGGTTACATGAAACATTTTGAGCAAACCTTATATAAAGTTAAATTTTTACAAGTTACTGGGGTGTTAAAAGTGAGTTTGAGGGGGCCATTACATAAAATAATCATAGGTTTGTCCAAGAGCTTGGGGGGGCCAGGACCTCCCCGACCCCACCTTCCCTCTGTCCTGCGGGTAGTGTATAACCAAGAGGGTACCATGGCATCGGCATTACTTGATCAACGGAAAATTGGATTTTGTCTTAAATACCACTTAAACAGAAGGGCATTGCAAATCATACACACACAAATGCACAGGCATATATGTATATTACAATCAAAGAAAATATGAGATTTTGTGAGGTTTAGGTTGCTTATGGATGACCTAATTACAAGGCCGGCCCTGGGTTTTACGGGACCCTAGGCGAACTTCTAAAAGGGGCCATTTTACATATTTACCACAAAAAAATATAAAAATAAATAAATAAAAGGTTTGACTAAAATTTACACAGTTTATTTGAATATATAACTAAAATTTACTTACACAAGAAATCATTACATTATAATAATTCAAAAAGACAAAAAATCGAATCATTCTAACGTTGAAGACCTTCATTCACCAAATTTTCATTATCATTATCATTCTCATTTACACATTTATTAGGTTCTTCAATCACCAGATTGTCACCAACTTTTTTTTCATCCCAAAACTATACTTCTTAGGAAACACGAAAATATAATTAACAGAAATTCAACCCACAATGCAGAGAATTTGTTTACAAACACATTGAAACAGAGTTACATTAGCTTTAGATTCTTTCAAAAAATATGTTTACAGAAATTAGGGCAGAGAAATTAGAAATTAGGGAAAATTACATATACCCCTCGAGGTTTAGCAAAATTACAGATACCGTCCTGAAGTTTGAGAAATTACAGATACCCCTGAAGGTACTATTTGCATAACAAATTGGGGGGCAAATTGTTATGAAAATATAAACCTCAAGGGACAATTTGTTATGAAAATATAAAACTCAGGGGGTATCTGTAATTTCCGAAACCTCAGGATATCTGTAATTTAGCTAATCCTCGAGGGAGGTACATGTAATTTGCCCTAGAAATTATTGTGTTAGGGCACAAAAATTAGGAACAAATTAGGGCACACATAAACCAAAACCAAAAACCAAATTAACTGGGCAAAAATAAATTATAGAAACAAGACATTTTTCAGAAGTTTGGGGTTTGTCCCAGACACTCCATTGGGTTTATCCTTGTATGTAATTTGCAAAAGATTTCTTCCATTAAAATGCTATAAAGAAATAAAGACTAGAGAGACAACTGGCCGGCTCTGCTTGCTAGCCGATCGCCTCTCTGGTTGCTTGTTGGGTGTTGGTCATTGCCCTTTTTGGTCTCCGACTCTCTGGTACTGATTTTGGCCCAACATTTTATATAAAACTAATCAATCTCAATCTTAATAAACCACTTATTGGCAAGAAACTGACAATGCTGATTGAATTATCCTAACCATTTCATACCAAAAGAATTTGATTTCAGCCCAACCAGACAAACTATATATATATACTAGTAGTGTTGGCATTGTGCGTGAATGAAACAATTATAGGCAATTACGAATTGAAACGATTGAAACAGGGTCGGAAACTGTGGCTATTTGCTTTATAATATAGTATAAATAAAAGATAGATAATAGTATAGATATACATATATGCAGAAGAAGATGATGATATAGTAGTTGAAAATCCAACAAAATATGATAAAAGGACATACATAGAGAGATGATATACAAGTTCAATCAACACTGATTGAAGAAGAAGAAGAAGAAGACAGCCTGTGTGTTTCTAGGGTTGTTGGGTTCTCTCTCTCTCTCTTTGTAGGCGGTCGGTCCTATATATATATAGTTTTACAGCGATATCTCCTCTCTCGTAGGCTGTAAATGAACCGAAAGCCCAGAATATGTTTGGCTTTGGGGGTGTTTTGCGAATTTTGTTAAAAGTTAATTTTTTATTTTTAATTTATTTCAAATCATATTCACCTTGCTTGTTTCTACTTTTCAAAAAATATTTTTCAGAAAATTCTATTTTCTTATTTTTTGTGTTTTTTTTTTTTTGCTGAATTTTTTTAATATTTTAAGCAATTTTTTACTTTTTAGACACACTTAACATAAATACACCTAAAAAGTAAAAAAATTGTAAAAAAAATATTTTAAAAATTCACTAAATACCAAAAATATAAAAAAATTACAAGAATTTAATACATTTTTTGTATTTTTATGTATTTATTAATTTTTTAAAATATTTTTTCACAAATTTTTTACTTTTTAGATAGACCTAAGTAAGGTGCATCTAAAAAAGTAAAAAAAAAATATTTAAAATTTAAAAAATATTCACTAAAAACAAAAAAATACGAAAATCAAAAAAGTCAATTTTCAAAAAATTTAATTCAGAAAATTCAAACCAAACGCACCGATTATTTCTCTTTTTTATACGTTTTTCCAGTAAAAGTTAAAAAGTAAATTTTTAAGCAACCTTTTAAAATAAGCCTTTGTTTAGGAATAACCTCCTAAAAAAATATTCTTTATGTTTTTTTTTTTAATTTTATTTAGGTCACATTATCTCTTTATTATATTACACATCTTTTTATAAAAAATAAAAAGTTATTAAAATAATATATTTCCAAACAACCCCTTATTAAGATTTTGGTAAATTCAAATTCGAACTCGAACTCAATAAAAATTTAACAAACCAAACTCGAACGGAGTTAATTTAGGCTTGACTCAAACTGAAGTTTGTTCACAAGCTTTAACGAGCAAAGAAAGTATAATGCGTAAATTACGCTTACCTTCGCTAAAGTTTTGCATAATTACAAGGACCTCTCCTATAGTTTTTAAAATTACACTGACTTCCTTTACTTTTTCTGCCATTGGCATGATTCCCCCATTAATTTCGCTCAGACGGTGTTAATTTAGTTGTGCAAATGACCATAATACCCCTTAAATACTATTCATAACCTCAAGGTAATTAAGTGTAATTTACCCTAATATCTAGTGTATATATATGAAATTATCATTTTATTTCTCATAACTTTTTCAAAACGTAAATGTAATTCTTTGACTTCGTATTTTTTTTTTTCTACTATAAGTTTTTGAACTTTTATAAATTAAAAGAGAAAAATTCAACCATTAATGAAGGTAAGAAAAAATATCCATATTTCTTGCTTGAATTAATTTGAAATTTTAATTTAATAAAAAATAGTTTAAATGAGAGAAACAAAGATGAAGATATAGATTTTGGATGTAATAGATTGTAATGCCCCGGAAATAATGATAACTAGTACGCCTCATAAGCTTCACACATATATGTGAAAACTTAACAATCTCAACCATTTAATACCATAAACATTTTTAAAAGTATAATTCATTCATTTACCTCTTTAAAGTTTACAAAAAAAATCACATGTGTTAATACATTTATCAATCCTAGATTGTGAATCTATGGCGTATGACTTATGTATAGAAACAAAAGTAAATAAATACAAGTTCAAACCCTAATGGCTACAAATTTTCAAAACTTCGCTTGATTACAAAAAAAGTGGGTCAAAGCCCAATACAAAGCCCTAAGCTTACGCAAAATAAATTTACAAAAAAAAAAGAAAACAAAAAAACAAAAAATATGAGTATTCAGCTCCAACGTCCTCCCAAGCTATCACTTTGGTAGAGACATACCATCAGCACTTAAAAGTTGGTTTCTACATAGAGTGAGCTAAAACCCAATAGAGATAAGTTTAATGATATGTATGATGTTTAACAAAGTCATATGATGAATGTATATGAAATGCCATTATAAAGACCTGCATTTTCTCTTTTTAAACAATACTATGCCAAAGTTCAAATCTATAGCGATCCGGGCTTAGACCCGACCCATTTATTTGCCTTTGAATCTGAGAACCATATTGTAGACGTCCCCGAACGCCCCGGGAGGAACGAGCTCCCGTTCTGTTCATTTTGGGGTCACTACAGCTCGGACTCTCAAATTTGTCACGGTTCTAAGTCTGAACCAAAGAGTCCAAATCCGGCAAATCGTTTTGAGAAAAACAGATTTTTGAAAAGAAGTGCCAAACATGGACTGCTTTGCCAGATACAGAGTCGCCACCTAAATGTTTTTTAATGGGAAATTTAGGAAACCCTGACTCGGTGCCAAAGGCCACGTGTCCGTCATCACCAAAGTTGCCTCGGCTCGAGAACTTGGGTACGATTGGAGAAGGTCACTTCGTGAGCACCCCCGCTCGCCCGGTCATAGACCGGCCTCTACTAACCATGATATCAATTTTTGAAAACATTGTATGTTCTTATTCCGGTTATTAGCCTAGGTTACTATGTGATGCACACAGCATATAAGTATAGACTGGGTCGCCCGAATTGGAACAAAACGCTTCATGCTTGTTTTTGAAAATGGTTTGCTACCCGCAGGTAAGTTTAAAACATTTGATCAACCTCGAGCTCGGATGGAGAGTCCGGGTGATTGGGTGTATGGACCTTGGACAGTTGTGGTGGAATCGGGGGCGGAGTTGGCCCCGTTGGAAGACTTGTGTCCTCTTGCAGAGTCTGGATGGTTGGTACGGTATTCTGGGTGTTCGGAGGAACGTCATGAATGGCAGGAGCCTTCTCAGGTAATGGGGGCCTTGCCGGGGGAGGGACTTGTTGCGAAGCAGATGCCTCATTCTGCTGTTGCAGTCTGGTAATCAGCTCAGCCTGATGGGTCATAATTTCAGACTGTTGCTTAGCGAGTTCATCCCGGCGAACGGCATCTTGCTGCATGGCATGCAACACGAACATGGATGATCACCGAGTGTTCAAACGATGATGTCCAAGTCTTGAGGACGGTAAAAAATGGGATGTCTACAACGACGCACATACGTCAGTCGTGAAAAGTGAATACTGGGAGGTTATAGTGATCCTGATTTAGACCCGACCCATTTATTGCTTTTGAATCCGGGAAACCATATCCGTAACGGTCGTCCTTCCCTCTTTTCTTGTTGAATTTTGGCTTCGAGGGTCGAAACCATTCTTGGTGGTGTCGACACTACCTTCTTTTCTTCATTTTGTTCTGCTCTTGGGGTTGACACCAGTCTTGGTGGTGTTGACACCACCTTGTTGTTGTGCTCTTGGTATGGCTATTGAAATTTGGGGTCGACACCAGTCTTAGTGGTGTCGACACTTGTCTTGTTGTTAGCCTCTGGGGTCGACACCAGTCTTGGTGGGGTCGACCCTTCCATTGCTGCTTTGTACTGAGTTACATACTGAAATACAGGGTTGACACCTCGAGTTCTTAGGGTCAACCCTCCCCTTGCTGTTTTGTTCTGGGTTGCATTTTGAAAAAACAGGGTCGATACCACTGTCTCCTAGGGTCGACACCACTATCTCCTAAGGTCGACCCTCGTCTGCTGCAAAACATTAGTGTCTCACCTTTTCTTCTTGAGGGTCGACACCACTATTGCGAGGGTCGACCCCTATGAGTCTTTTTTCCAGATCTTGTTCGGTTGGGCCCTACTTTTTGAGAATTTTTGACTTGTCCTTTTCATTTGACTTTGGAACTATTATTCTATTAATACCTAGCTACTATAAATAGGTTCCAAAACACTTTTCCTTGTCTTTTCCTCTCAAACCGTGATTTCTCTCTTCTCTCTCTAAACTTAACTTTTTCTCACTTAGATCCCTAGAGCTACTCACTTGGAGGTATCCCTTCACCTTGGTCCTTTTAGATAGATTGTAGATTGTATCAAGGGCTTCCTTTTGATCCGAGTGGTTCATGATTTCGTTGACGTAGAGTTTTTCCCGAGTTATTCTTTTCCACATTTACACTTGAGGTAAGGATCCTTCACAATTTCTTATGAGTTTTAACTTAGTTATTTATTTTTATAAAACCATTTGTGAAAGAAATGGATTTTTGAACAATCTTGGATTTTGGTTTGAAATCAAAATGAGGGGTTTTCAAATGGTTTATTAAGAATGGTTGTGGATCAATGTGTATAAATGAGATATGATGAAATGATGGGTTTTATCTAGAAAAAATGGTTTGTAAAGGAAAGAGGGGTTTTTCCTAGAAATCTCAAATGTTGATTTTGTATTGATAAATGGAAATGATGTTAGAATTGTGAAATTGGGTTGATGTTGATGAGAATGGTGGAGTTGGGTATGTATTACCACTCACATCTTGGAATTTGGAAAGTTTATCTCTATGGAATTATTTATTGTCTAGAGATATCTGTTTTGGGCTATTGGTGAAGGATAGCTATGATTGTTATAGAAATTGTATGAGACCTAAGTAAATTGAAACAATTTTCTCATCCATTTACATTGGGCATTGTTGCATCTTATCACATTGAAAATGTATATTGTTTTGAGAAAAATTGTGAATACTTGGTGGATCTGGGTAAGGGGTGTGGTTACAATGTTAAGTTGGCTTGGGTATCCTTGGTGAAAGACCAATAACCTGCGCGGATTGGCATCAAGCCTTCCGGTTAATACCTGTAAAAATGACAAATTGGTAGTACTTGTATAGTCTACTTGCAGACACATACCTAGATATTCATAGAGTTGTATTCATAGTCCTGTCTTCTATTAAAAAGGAAATGTTTTACGAAATCGTGATATAAACCTGGCATTGTATGGTTTGAAAGAAAGATAAAATGTTTTGTCACTAGCATTGCATATATATTTCACCCTTATATCTTTGTTAAGATTCATATACTATGTTGGATTATTTCTACTGGGTTTTGGCTCACCCTATGTGGGAAAACTTTCAAGTGCTGATGATATGCGTCCGCCAAGGCAATAGCTTGGGAGGA